ATAGGAGAAGAAAATTAGAAAAGTAGGAATTTTTTTTTTAAATAGTGACCAAACGGTCACTAAATCAGTGACTGTTCTGATCACTTTGTCATTAAAATTTTTTTTATTTATTTATTTTTTATATACAAATTAGACGAGTCCACGAGCCTGGCTCGTGGGCTCGTTTCACGAGCGGCTCGACGAGCCACTCGTGAATAGTAACGAGCTGAGTGGGCTCGGCTCGTGCTCGCTTTTTGGCGAGCTTGAGCGGCTCGTGGGCGTGAACAGTACAAGCCGAGTAGGCGAGTCGACGAGCCGCTCGACTCAGTTGACACCATTAGAATCAGTCTACTCATTCATAGAAAATAAAAAATCCCAGCACTAGAAGATCAGATAGATTAGTGCAACCTCTTTCGGCAACTGAATCAACTTTGAATTGGCAATAAGAAAATGCAGTACAACGAAATGTTTTGTTGAAAAAGATTGATCAAAGTCAGCAAAGTGTTGAAAGGACTCTACAACAACATACTCAAGCTATTCTTAATTCTCTTCAAGCCTATAGACAAAAAGTTGAAGCTTTACACACTGATATAATGAACCGTTTACAAAACCAAATACCTTTTGATGCCCAAGAAAGAGGAATCAAAAATATGAAAATGCAACTATCTTCTCTTGAGTCAAATCCGATGATCCCACCATCAACACCATACTATCCCTCTTCATCTTTCAATACACAATCCTCCCAAACAAGACTTTTATATACACTTCTACTTACCAATGATCTACCTCCATTCTTTTCACTCCTGAAGAATGGAAACAAAAGAAGAAAGTATCAATGCCCTCTAAAAAGATTAGATCAACTACTATCCAAAAACCCCAACCCTTACCTTTTCAAACTTCTTCTTCTCAAGAATTTCCACTATCAAATCTTTCAAAACAACCTTAAATGATGATCAAAAATCCAATTTTCACTTTTCTTCAACAAACTCACAACCAAAATAGTCAATCATTTCCTGTTCACACCATAATAAATGACACCAGTTTTGAAATAGAGTCTGAAAATTCATATGATGAGTCTGACGATGAAAATCCTCCTTTCTATATGGCTGACCTAGCACAAACAGGCCAATCTCAAACTCAAACACTGGTTGAACCAGTTGTTGATGAATCAGAAATATTTGATGAAGATATGCCTGAAGCTCATGTGACAAAAAATTATTATTCTAATGGCAATTCTTCACCAAAATTCACTTTTGATGATATTCCTCAATCACAGTGGAAATACAGACTATAAGAAATGAAAGTCTAGTATGTTGCGGAACTTCAAAAGCCAAATATGACCCATACAAAGGTCATAAAAGCTTTTCTAGTAAGAATTACAGGATTTCTCAAAGATTGGTATGATTCAATAGGTAAATACAGACAACTTCAGTTTACCCAGGAGTCAAACACTACAGATGTCTTCATGAATTCCTTATACTGGGAATTTTGTGGAAAGTCAGATCATGACAACGAAATTGCTAGAGATGAATTTTTCAAACTAAGATGTTACTCATACAATTCTAAAGATCTTGAAAAGCACTTCAGAAATGCTGCTCAAAGATACTATCTCATTGGTGGAACCGTGGAATGGACGATACCAACATCAAACAAGCTTATTTGGAATCTATTCATCAGCCTCTTAATCTAGAAACTTCAGGAACGATGGAGTTAAAAGGACAACCTCTCAATGCTACATCTTTTGATGAACTTCATAATTAGATCATGAGAACATTGAAGAAGATTTACAATAAAAATGGTTTCCTCAAAGACATCAACGCTACAGGAAGAAAATTGGAGAAGGCTTGTGAAAAGCCTTATTTGCAAATTAAGTGTAGTCGCTCTATGAAAGATTGTGATTGTCCAGGAAAGAAGAAATTTCATAAAAGAAGAATGAAGTTTTCATGCAAAGAAGCTTCTATTAATCCTTTCAGAAGAAAGAAAAGATTTTTGAGGCGAAAATTTTCAAAGAAGAAAGAAAACAGATGTTTTATCTGTGAAAAAAGGTCACTTTGCAAAAACATGTCCTAATAAGAAAAAGGAAAAAAAATCTCCATCAAATCTTCACAACTACTAAGATTGATTATGAAAATGATGATTTGGAGTCTCTTTTTTCTGAGCAAGACGAACAATCTCAAGAGACTATCTTTGCTCTCGAGTATGATTCCGATGGAAGTCTTTCTGATGAAATTGCTGATACAAAAGAATATTATGGTATGCATGTTGTCAATCCAGTCTTTTTATCCATTCCTGTGCCCATGCTTGAAGTTAAGTTTCTTATAGGAAAATATGAAAGACCCATAACAGTTGCAGTACTATTTGATACTGGTACAGTATGTTCAATTCTTAATCCTGCTATTCTTCCTGATGATATGTGGAAAAATTATCAGCAAACTTTTCAAGTTGCAAATGGAGAAAGTTTTTCAACAGAAATAGTCAGCAAGTCGATTACAATTCAGTTCTTTCATGAATTTGGTATTTCTCACAAGTTACTAGGATCCTCTTTGCCCGGTAAAGATCTCATCATTGCATAGGATATTATTAAACAATTATGGGAAAAGAATGTTATTCCTCGCCCAAATGGTCTCAGATACAAGTCATAATTTCAGACTTACATACAAATGACTACATATTTTATCGTGACCATTCCAAATATAACAGATATTCTTATTCGAGATTGTTGTGCAAAATCTCACTCAGATTTCCTTACTAAATGCACAAATCCACTTTGGAAAAACCCAGATTTCTTTATTTCTCTTCCATTTAAAAGAAATGAAGATATCAACCCCATAAAAGCCGGTCATCTTGGAATGAACCCAGAACATCTTCAATTAGCCACAAAAGAACTTTCTAAATTACAAGTTGAAGGTCGTATTGAGCCAACAACATTACAATGGGCGTGTCAAGCATTTTATGTCAATAAAAGGAGTGAACAAGTTCGAGGAAAACTCAGATTGGTTGTTGATTATAAGTCGTTGAATGCTTTTCTTGCAGATGATAAGTTTCCTCTTCCAGATAGGAAGACAATGTTTGCAAACCTGTCACGAGCAAAGGTTTTCTCAAAGTTTGATCTTAAAGTAGGGTTTTGGCAGCTGGGAATTAAAGATGAAGAAAGACACAAAACAACTTTTTGTATTCCAAACCATCATTACCAGTGGATGGTGATGCCATTTGGTTTAAAAACTGTCCATTATCTTTCAAAAAGCAATGACAAGAATATTTGATCCATTATTGAATACAACTTTGGTATATATTGATGATATCTTATTATTTTCTGAAGATGAAGACTCTCACACCAATTTGCTTTCTAGATTTACAGATCTTGTTAAGCATTATGGTATCATGCTCTCTGAGAAGAAAATTGTGATTGGTGCCAAGGAAGCTGATTTTTTGGGAATGCACATTAAAGATGGTTAGTATTCATTACAACCTCATGTTAGTCAAGAACTTCTTAAATTTCCATCTGAAAATTTGACAAAAAAGGAAGTTCAACAATTTCTCGGAGTTGTCAATTACATGGCAAATTTTATTGATCATCTTTCATCAATTATAAGACCATTGCAGCTCATGCTTAAATAGAATCCCCCCTGGTCAGTGGATCAAACTCAAGCAATTCAAACCATCAAGTAGAAGGTTAAAGATCTTCCAACTTTACAAATTTCTACTAATGAAAAACGCATCCTTCAAACAGATGTAAGTGATTGTTATTGGACAGCAGTATTACTTGAAGAAAAGGATGGAAAGAAATGAATTTGTGGATACAAAAGTGGATCATTTACAGAATCGGAGAAGCATTATCATTCTACTTTCAAGGAGATACTTGTAGTAAAAAGATGAATTGAGAAATTCCGTTTAGAATCTTTGATCATTTTGCAAAAAATTTTTTTGAGTGATTCTATCCAATCTCTCACTGGATAAAAATGTTTCAAGTATTTTCTTTGAAATTTAAAGATCTCACTGGATAAAAATAATGTCTGTGACTTAACTTTTCAAAGATAGGGATATTTCATTGAAGCAGGAACGTATGCTCATTTTTCCCATGTTAAGGAGTATGCAATTCAACCATTCAACATGCATCAAAATTGGGAACGATACTAAATTTTATAAATTTAATTTTTTGGCATTTGATCTAGACTACGATACGAACTGAAAACATTTTTTTGGAGAACATTGTTGTAAATTCCACACATTATGCCCTTCGGTCAATAGTATAAGAAATTTATTTCCAACATACATGCAAAAGAACAAGATAAAAGTCACCAGGTACTTGTACATAAGAGTGAAGGTGCTACCAAAATAAAAAGTTTAAAGTATCCCTCTTAACTTTTGATGGGATTAAAGTGAAAGATAATAGCATGTAATCCATGTCAACAAAGTTATCATAGTCAAAATCTCTCATCACACAGGAATGCCTAATTCTGAAATCTTCAACATCTTTTTATCTATCAATGTCCTTTGTTGGCGGAGGTATGATGCCATAGAAGCAACCTGGCATAAACATTACATATCTAAAAGTTAGATCCTTCCTGTTAATGCAATCATCCAAAGCACAGAACAAGAATGAAAGGATTCTGGGGGACTTACATCTGCTCGTAGTTTTAGAGCCTCCCTTCCAGGAGTTACTCGTAGCAAATCCATCAAATCTAAGCAAAGCATGCAACATAAATATTTGTGCAAATAAATAAAAGTCAAATCTTTGAAATCTATCCAAAACTTGATATTTAACAGTCTAGAGTGTTGGCAATAAGAGCAGCCAATGACCATCCTGCCCTTAGTCAGGGCAAACAACATGCAAACAACATGCAAGAAATTGAACATATAGTTCTGATTGTTTCCACCTTTCAGCTCAACATATTTAATTTGCACGACTGGAAAAATCAGTTTAAGGGTATTGTTATTCTGTTTCAAACAAGGAAAAACACAACTATACCACATTATACCTGTTTTCTTTCTAGATAATTTAAGTTATATGAAATTAAAAACAAGGCGCTCAATGACAAAAAAAAAGCTACACCTGGACTAAAAGAACAAATTGTGGAAAAAGAAATGCCAAGGCAGAGAAGAATTCTAGAACCAGCCACAGTTAGGGACCAGCCTCAATAACAAGATAAACGGATGAGAATGATTATGTTGGGGGGTGGGGAGACGGGTTAATTGTTACCAGCAGCTCCAGCTTCTGCTTTGTAAACTGATCTTGCAAGATTTCGAAATTGAGTTCCAGCACTCCTATGAATTGTTTCAACATCAGAATAGAAAATGATGAAATCTTAGCTACATATGCACCAAACTGCTTAAAACTGTTCTTTACATTAGGTCGGAATGGCCACGTTTCATATCCTTTTCAGCAAGAGATGCTCTTTCCAGAAGTTTTCTGCTCTCCTTCTTCATTAAGTCAACAGAAAGACTCAACTCTTTGACATTCTTTTCTGCTCTAACGAATTGTGCCTGCCCACAGTTGTAACCATATGAATATCCAGGATTTAAACAATCACTCAGGTATTGAAAACACTTGGGATTATGAAAGCTAGCACAAAAATGAGATACTAGTTTCATCTTGTCTGGCATATATAAAGTGAAGATTTTCTGATGAATAAAATATTAGTATACCTCCTCACTTCGAAGTCGGCCCAGTGTATGACTGAACAAAAACCTTCTAGGGCCTGCAAACAACAGGCATAACTAGCTAGTGTGAATTCTATATATATAAAATAACGAATGACAACCAAGGGGCGAAGAGAAGGCATGTCCCACTCATTGTTTAATAAAGCTATTTGAGGCTAACGCCTTGAATTCAGCCTCTCGTGAAGCTTTCACAAAATGCTTTAAGGCTAAGCCTCAAGGTGACAACAATGTTTGCCCTTTGTCTTGTGTTTTCCAAACATTTTGTTATTGGCCTCAGCTTTTTGGGCTATTTCTTCGTAATCTAGGATGTTTTACGAGTTTTTTTACTTTTCATTTTTACATGCGGAAGGGAAGGAGAAGGAGAACACATGATAGCTAGTGGAGAAAGATATGAGGAGAAACTAATAGTGAGGAGGATGATGATGTTGATGATTCCGTTAAAAATCCTATTATATTTTTGTTGTTTATTAACTTGAGAACTTATTATATGATACTTTATCAATCTATTTTGCATTTGTTTGCTAGTTAAACTTCTAAATTTCTTATTATATTATGGATTTTATTGGTTTATCTTGAGGCTTACGCCTCACTTCATGAATACCTGATGAAGCCTTTTACACTATGGTCATATTTTCCCTATTCTCCCCAATTATTCCTTCCATCACCGCTTTTTAAGATTTCTGGCTTCACCTATGACATTGGTCATGGTATATTAACTTCAACTAGTCAAGTGTTTCCAGCTGTCTTGAACGTAGTGAACGAAAGCTCAAGCCCACTGACACAAGCAATATCAAAGGAACCTTGAGCAGGGATTCAGAAGCAAAATTGGGCCAGGAAGTTAAAGGAGTCGTATTAATGTTAAGAGCATGCCTGGCTATCTAATCACTTTTTTAATACATAAATATGGATGAACTATAGTTATAAGTAATTTTATTTTTACAAGAAGTTACTTATAAGAAGGGTAAAAGTATCATATATCGAAACAGACACTCTTTTTATTAAAGTTTTAATTATTTTATTTAATAGATTAAATTATTTAAATAACCTTTAACCTATTACATATTATAGCCAAAGATAGGCGCAGCAACAACTCTGCCACCTCAATATACATGAGCATGACATGGTCTCTCACTCTCACACTCCAACAATGTGATGTTCAATTGGACATATTGGAATTGGTGACATGAAGATTCAGACAATGGGGAAGCTTCACAAGACTGCTTCATCCACTCAGTTGCTGGTGCATCTTTTTTGTAATTTTGTTCATACTTTAGAATTCAAGGAAAGGGAAGAAAGTGAGAATAAAGCTAGTGATTTTGTTGTAGTAATGGGGGCATGTTACTCTTTTCCTTGGTCAAAGTTGGGAAAAAGTTATCTGTTTTGCTAGTACACACCCTACTATCAAAACAAGTATTTTTTTCCCTTAATGTAAGAAAACAGAAGTTGCTTATAAGCACTCCCAAATTGTCTAGACAAAGAACAGAAGAAAGCTTGAGTTATATATAAGCTCCACCAAACATTATCTAAGTGACAAGTTCTGGTTAGGATCAAATGGTAAAATTGTCCACCTAACAATAACTTAGATATAAATTAGTCCTCGGTAAAAAGAATATCCAATGAAGCTAAAAAAATTGTCATAACAGATCTTCAAATATAATTCGTTTGACAATCAATACAATTGTAAATGTATATTATCATTATATCTACTTATAGAGGTATATATCTATGTATGACTAATAAAGACGGCGTCACTATCTCTTTCCCCCCAAAATGAAAGAAAGTAGAGGAGAGCACACGTACCACGCATAAGGAGGAGGGCAGCTGTAACAGCACCTCCAGCGGCCACAGCTGGGTGTTCTCTTGCTCTAATCAATTCATCTGATATAAAATTGGAATTGGAAGATGGTAAGTAAATTAACAAATAAAGCACATCAAATAATGAGAGTGAGGGCCCGGACAAGCACCTTTAGCTTTGTGAAAGAAAGCTTCTTCGTTAGTTTTGTATCGGGATCTTATTTGTGGGATAAAATCCTGCAAATTATAAAACGAAGACGAAAGGTTTACACTTGTTGAAAATAAATCACAATAAAATATGTGTATATAGGAATAAGGGAAGGTTGGTGCATACTTGGATCGTGCGGAGATGTGTTGAAGATGATTGCTGGAGTGAGCGCGCAGAGCGAATGGCGGAGTCCGTGGACTGCTGGACTGTACGGGGCAGATCCTCCGATATGTAAGAATGCCATGGCGTCTCCAACGTCTGATCTACTGGTGACGACGGCGGCGGCGGAGGCGGAGGTACCTCTTCTCCCATCTTAATTTTGTATCGTCGTTCGTGATGACATTTACACCTGTAATTATTTTTTGGGTTATAGGCGCAAAACTCACTACTTTGACCATATTGTATAAGAATTATGCTACTTGTACATCGCTCCTTATACAAAGGGTGACAAAACTAAAAATATGATGACCACAATACAAAACTAAAAAACTTGAACGGCAACCAGCAGGCAGAAACGAAAATAGCTTGGACGTGATTTTGGGATTTTCAACTTTCAAGGATTTTTCTTAAATTGACAAGGTAGGAAAAGAGG